GAAAAGCAATATATAATACAGTAATGACTGTGAATAAACCCAGTCATTAATGTCCTTGTCCCAAAATAGAAATACGTACTATTAAATTAAAAGGCAGTAAATGTAAACAAATAAAATTGAATACTTTCTAAATCAGCATTTCATCAACTTGTTCAGCCTGTAATACTTTCAAAATGTTATGGAAGTTGAAAGATTAACTATTTTTATACTTGGGATGCTTACTTGTTAACATAGGCAGGTTCTAAGCTGCAAGCAGCTCATTGAAGGGGTGCATGTTAGAAAAGGGATGTGATCAGGGTGCAGAACAAGATACTTTTCCTTCCTAGTATTTGATAGAATCTTCTCAATTTCATCTCCCTGTGGATTTAGGCTTCCTTCCTTTAATTTGAAAACCTGTCATATATTCTATATCACACGCTCTGATGAGTTCAATGTTTGCATAGGTCCTGAAGCTGCATGGTGACGTGATGTACAGGAAAACCCTGATTACCAACGATGGCACCTCTCTGGGAGCTGGCACGCCAATTGGTTTGACGGTTGATCCAGCAAGAGGGTAAATTTACAAAATTGCTCTTGTATTTGCACATGAGTATAATCTCCATGTTTGTTTGTTTTTATTTTATTTTAGGGTCTTCAGCTGCCATCCTGGATTTGATGTGATTTTGTTTTTTTCATACTTGTGCAGAATTTATTTACTCTTTTTAAACACTAGAAAATAATTGCCTGGCTTCATAAATTGTTGCATAGATGTCAATTCTCCTTAATTTACCATATACTTATATGGTAAAGTTTTTTTTAATCAAAACAGATCTCAGAATATTATGATTGTGAAAAAAAATCTCTGAAAAATGAGAAGCCAGATGGAAGAGATCTTTAAAATCTTTATAATGTCTCGTGATGTCTGACTTGAGACCTCTCTAGAGTAGAAAAACACACTTAGAATAGCACTAAATGTGATTTTACTGCTCTCTCCCAATAAGAGCTGTAATTTGCTTTTTTCCAACAGAGTATTCAGATTTGCAGTATGATGCTTTTTTTTTTCCCCTCACAGTGTTTTATAGGACCATATTAGTAATGAGACGGGTCTGCTGGTGACTTGGCAGGCTTTCAGATGTTGATGCCTGACTTCTTGTCAGGCTGCCATGTGCCTTTGGTGTCCTTCAGCAAGTGAGGCCAGAGCAGTGCACATATTCCCTAGAGCCAGATAGTGGAATTCTGTTTCGTATGTATTTTTTTAACTTGTAGTTTTAATTCCAAGTTGGAACCAAGCACTGCTGAAACCTTGCAGCCATCTGCAAAACAGAATTCTTATTCTCCTACTTTCTTGTTATAGTCCTAATACTCGACTGGGTTTACCTACTGACAGTCATGTGGGATAATACAGGGGAGGATATGGATTTCTAAAAATTATTCTGGTTCAAAGTGATCTCTGTTCAGCATATGCTGAAGTTTTTGGCTGAAGGAGGAGATGGATTTAAGCATATGCTGAAGTGACTCTGGTCCATTGATCTCTTACCAGCTTTGCTAACAGATGGGATTATGTGTGTTACAGGAAGGTGTACTGGACAGACCATGGGACTGACAGTGGAGTCCCAGCAAAGGTGGCCAGTGCAAACATGGATGGATCAGGCATACAAACCCTCTTCACTGGGAACCTTGACCATGTAGAGTTCATTGCCATTGATATAAAGGAACAGAAATTGTACTGGGCTGTCACAAGCACAGGAGTGGTAGGAGATATTTTTTTAATAATTGCTTTTTCACCTATTAATCTGTCTCTGTGCCTGTGATTCACATGAGTAATTCAGTTACTTTAATTTACTCTTGTAACTGGGAGTTGCAGGACTGAGGCTGAATCAATGGGCTGGGGCCAACTGTA